GGGGGGGGGGGGGGGGGGGGGGGGGGGGGGGGGGGGGAGGGGGGGGGGGGGGGGGGGGGGGGGGGCGGGGCGGGCGAGGGCGGGTGCGGCGCGGGCGGCGGGGGAGGGGGGGGGGGCGGGGGGGAGGGGGGGGGGGGGGGGGGGGGGGGGCGGGGGGGGGGGGGAGGGGGGGGGGGGGGGGGGGGGGGGGGGGGGGGGGGGGGGGGGGGGGCGGCGGATTTCACCTATTCGGTTAAACAAAAGTCTTTATGAAAAGTAATGCTTACTTGTGCATACGTGCGAGTGATGCTTCACAAAGCGGAGGAAATACGTGGGAGGTGGCTCAGTGGCGGTGCAACGTGTCCAAGCAGTGGGTGGCCCAGTGCACTTTCGCTGTTAAATAAATGTGCTGATGGAAAGCATTCCATACCTGTAACTAAGTATCAGTGTTGCATGCTTCATCATGCATAACAACCGTTACCTGTGAGGACGTATGAATGAAGGTTCACATGGCGGAGGCGATGCGTCGGTGGTGCCTTAGTGGCGGTGCTAGGTCGCAAGGCAATGGGCGGGTCATTTCATTTTCCCTGTTAAACAACACTTATCTTGCACGACAAGCGTTACCTGTGAGGACGTATGAATGAAGGTTTACATGGCGGAGGCGGTGCGTTGGAGGTGGCTTAGTGGCGGTGCAAAGTTGCGAGGCAGTGCGCGGCGATTTTCACTTTACCTGATAAAGGAAATGGATTACGAAATGCAATCATTTCCTGTGAATAATACGCATGAAGCTTAAAATGGCGGGGCGGATACGTCGGAGACAGCTCAGTGACGGTGGTAGGTTGCAAAGCGACGCTGCGCGCACATCCATGCGTGTCTGCGACAGAGGACATTAACGAAATGGAACCCCACCTGCGTGCATGAGACGGTGGCAGCCATACGTTCCGCGCGGTTGAGCGGAGGTGTTATGGAATGATAGGGGAATGCTAGGGGCTAATTCAAGGTTCGTAAAGATGATATTGGAAACTTACCTTCGCAAAGTGTTTCCGCGGTGCCGCGGCTCTCTTTGCACATTGTTCACTTCTCATTCGCACGCATTCATATCAGCCGAAAACTTCAATACCCTCTGCTATAACTAAAATGGACTCGATGATAGGGCACGCAAATTTGGCATACCTGCAGCGCGTGTCATGCTACGCTCTTCATGTACGTTCCACAGACACTAAGAAGAGCAAGCGTAGTAAATGAATTCCTCGTCACCGGCATAGCACACACATGGCGCATGGTGCCATTGGGGGCATGCATCGCACATAACCCATTGCACCGCGTCCCCGCACACTTCCGCATCATCCTCCTGCTGACATACTCCACAGAGGTCCTCTGAAACCACTCCCTGAGTATAGTTTTTCCGTTTCACAGGAACCCTGTAGCCGGAGGATGTCCGGGTGTGAAGCTTACGGATGTCTTTGCCCCTTAGTGCACTCTTACTGGGGCTACCCTCCATCACCCGGCACTTAAGGGGCGATTTACGCTTTCTGGACCCGGGTGCCGATATGGATGAACCAGGTGTTGCCGTGGCAATTAAAGGGCAGACGTCATTGACCTACATTACTTTCACCGGGGCCGGCAGATCGCATTCCGACCTCCTGGCTACCTCGGACGCTGCACCACTATGCGACGTTCACGGCGTAGCCAAGCCGCATAACATCCGTACTTTTGCCTCCTTATCTAACAGAAGTGGAACAGGGCACCTCCACGTTCGACCATACAACTAAAAAAGTCGCTTCCTTGGACCTCAGCAACGCAACCATTTTCAGGAAGGTCAACGCTGCGAAGAAGTTCCCCGCTCCGTAACTGCACAATTGCGTACCGAGGTCAGCCAAAACATCCTGCGTCTTGCGAAGTTTTATGGTGCGGCTTACAACCGTATCACTATCCCCTACCTGACGGTCTCGAATCTGCACACCGCCATCCGACGCAACACAGTCTGAGGAGGCTGCGGGAGGTTGCCGGGGTGCGATCCACCGACATCCATGTAGTATGTCCTCCGCGGAGTGTCCGTGAAGCGCCGCCACATAACAAATGTGAGCACAGGGGAGCCGCCACTGCCGACTGAACTCGCAATCACATTCACTGCCGCGTGTGATGTATACTCGACGCACTTTAGAACGAGGGCAGGTAACTAACCAATAAGGCCCATCAGACCTACAACCGAGAACGGTTGATGCACGGAAATGGGCTATGAAAACATTGCCTGCGAAATCGCTCAGCTGTGCGAAAACACAAGCCACTGAGGACACCTCCGATGGAACAGAAAGTACGCTCATGCACCGCCTAGCTATTATGCTGTTCCTTTCGTGCACGATACTGTTTACCCTATCGACCACGCAGGTGAACAGAGTGAGTAACGATGACCTCTCCGACAAATACTCCTTCAGATGCTTGTTCTCATTCTCAACCCTGTTTGTCGTGTGGCATCCAAAAACCACAGCATCCCTTAGTCTGTGAGCCGCCCAAGAGTCTGCGTGTGGAAGCCACGTGGCGCACAAATACCGGTAGCATTCTGGATTGGCACGCCGCACCGCGTTCAATAATCTTTCAAATACCGACGCATCGCGAGTATATATCAGGTTATGAAGCCACGCGCGTAATTGCATTCGACGAGCATCAGAGATCCAACGTATGCGACCGCAAAGTCTAGCCATGTCCACTTTCACATGGTACCGGCAAAACACCACCTTCGCGTTGGGATAATAACGTCGAAACGCCCGCAACTGAGCAGCACATTTATCCATCACCACAGTGCGGCAACGTATGCTGCTAGGCACCATCTCCCGCATCGCCTCCACCGCTTGCCCATAGCTGTAGGACGTCTCATCAGGTAATAGGGCGTAGAAGAAGGAAATCCCTAGACCTGTTACGTCCACGAACATGCAATGCCACAAAATGTATCCACCATAATTTAGTTGGTGCGTCGCATCGCACAATAGAACCTCGCCATAACGCTTCACAATGCCACGAACTACGGATGGAGAGAAGAATACATAACGAATCTGAGTACCCTCAGACACCAATCGGCAAACACCGTGCCCTTCCAACATCTTTGCCACCTCCGACACTTCACATGAGGTTGCATTTCGATGACGAATGCGCAAATTGCTCAGGTCCACACGGGTTACACTTTTGCCGTACTCCTGATAGATGAAGCGCCGCAAGTCAGGCGTGCTATGAAAACTGCCCATCAAACGCAGAACCTCCTTCTCCTGCCGCGGAGACAGCCGACGGTTGCGTGCATACAGCCAGGGGTTACCCAAGTGAAAATCATGACTATGGATCATGAAGTAACTTCGCACGACATATTTTCCATCCTTCAAAACCACGGAGAATCGCGCCTCGCATTTGTAGGATTTGTATCTACATGCGTTAGTCTCCGTGTTGCATAAATATTAACTTACCGCTTGCCACGCGATCCTGAACGTTCACAATGTACGCAACGGTACAGGATGTAACCGTAGCCGTCCCCATCCGGCAACTGCTTCCGCCTTCCACGCTGGTACGCCGCAGCAGAGATAGAGGTAACTCGGGAAAAACAAGTCGCCGTTTCAATCTGAAAACGTCCCAATTGCTCCTCCATGTCTTCAACACTTTCATACTTCCCAATAACCAAAGACCTGAACAGCTCACTATCATTCACAACCATAGCGATAGCGGAAAAACAAGTATGGCCACCGAAATAATAAAACAAACAGCATGCATATGCACCATCACCGGTTACCATTTCTATGGTATCATAATTAACACACAATCCCATTCCCCACACACCATCCAGCTATTTCCAGGTATTTGCACATTCATCCTCCTTGGCAACGTCGCTAGGTAACCTCGTTGCTATGTACCATTTGTACCACGGAACGTCCCGAAGCAACACAATTTTTTACTGTAATCATACGGCCCCTTGCCATCAGGACAACTGGTTTCTGAGTTCTCTAAATGTATGGGTTTTAATGGGGTAATTTGTTGCGAAAGGTGTTTATAATGAGGTCAGGAATTCCAAAAAGCTAAAAACTGTACTGTACCATGCTTAATTGCGAATTTGTATATAAACGGAAAAGTTAACATATAACAGTACGCAAGTGGTTAAAAAAGAAACAGAATGTAAAAAAGCGCTTAGGGCTGGCCGCGCTATGTCTTCGTAAAATGAATGAAGTGGCAGCATGTATGGTAAATGTTCCAAAATATGCGAGTGTCGATGTATAGCACATGTTTGTAAGTACGGATTGGTTTGCTGTGGAGGTTACCTGTGAAAATCATAACCGTGTAATCGAAGTGGTGTCTAAGATCGTTATTAACTGTTAGATAATTGACAGTGTGTGTAAACATGTCCCCTGTTCTGAAATGATATATATATATATATATAGTTTAAACGAGTTTAAATGTTTAAAGAATCCTCTGTTCCCCCAAACACTTCTTAAGCTCCGAAATGAGTAATCATGGACTTCGATGCTTACGTACCATTACTTCATTCATTCATTACTTCATTCATTCAAACTCATTTCAGTTAGCACACCTGGCAGGAAAGGAATGATGATCAAAATAACAAACTGCAGCAGTCCCCACTATTAAATATAACATTCAACTGCGTCCACAGTTGTATACCACAAAAACATTTGTAATTAAAAACAATTTTTAGGCAACATAACGTTGACGAAATCTCTTCAATCTCCCATTTTACATGTATTATGCATCAAACTTGCAGGAGTACACATGTAGTGACCTGGAGATTTCCCTGTTTGGCTGAGGCATGCTTCGTAAAATATTACAAAGTCACAAAATTATATTTTCTCGATGTACATAGCAAATTAGCCGCTCGCCTGCTTGAACGTTGCTCGCGTTTGTTTGAGTCAACATCGCATCCGCCTTCGAACGGCGCGATGTTCATCGGCTCAACGGTTATCTTTGCTCTCCGCGCACGCGACAACACCTTCCCCGGTGCCTTATTTTTAGCACTAGATAGCGTTTCGCCC